TTTTTTCCACATCGTAATCACGTATGGATTTTTTTACAATTGATTTCACTTGGAGTGGATAGAGCAAATCATTTTGCCTAATATTTTAATGTTTATTAGTAGTATGCATTTTTCTCTATTAAAAAATGATTGGTTTCGATTTTACTTAACATATTCATGATCCGCGAGAAACACCACCCCTGATACATATAATTTTGAAGCAATTAGAAATAAGTTTTTGTAAGTCCTGAGAGTATCACACGGGCTAAAAAAGCCATATTAAAATAGAACAAAATTAAGTCACAGTAAATACTTCTAACAATCCTTAAAAATATTTGAAAAGTATCATCATCTAAATGAACAGACAATGTATGTTAAGTAGATAAAATTAGTCGATATAAACTAATTAATTATTCAAATATATGTACATTTATCTCATGTGATACATATCGATTAGTAAATTGATCAAAGTCTTGAATAGATTATATTTCACATATATATTTAATTGTGTTGATCTCTTTAATATTTATCTATAATTAACATGAAGAGTTAACAAGAAAATTTTTATAATATGAAACCTTTTTTTTCAATTGAATATTTTACTAAATTTTCTATAATTTTTATTATGTATATACATTAAAAATTGATTTCTATTTTTAAAAAAAAATCTTACAAAATGATTCGAATATTTTTAATTATAATTGCGTAGAATTTATATTTTCATTAGTAATCATTGTTTGATCATAGAAACTGCACGTGAAAAGTAAAAAAGAAATAAATGAAGGTTACATCGATTAAATCGTTGTAGTTATTTTTACCTATGATTATATCTTCATTTATTTGTAGAAGAAAAAAACAGTGCGAAAAACAACATTATTTTTTACGCATTTATATACATCATACGTTTCACTCTTACCATTCATTTTTGCATCTATTTCAATATGGACCAGACAAATCAACAACAACAGAAACTACCAACTACTGGAAATATTGGTGAAAACAATCAGTAAGTTTTGTGTTTAAATTAAATTTTATTACACTTTGTTTTTTGTTTCAGACTTACGGAAACAATAAATAATTCAAACGATGCTCCCGAATTACATGATGCTTCTGGTGACATCAAAATAGCATCAGGACCAGCACCTATTCCTCAACCAAATCGTCAAAGGGCCGCTAAATCAAAGACACATGAATAAATCAACAAAACTAATTGACAACTAGATTGAACAATTTTTAAAACTAACTGACTAATATATTAGATTCCTTCTAGCATGCTTTGTAGTAAATTTTATTATTCAATTTTTATTCAAAAAAAAAAAACAAAAAATCTTTTTATGTATCAATGCTTTAGAAAAACAAAAATGCAGCTGTCATAATAAATTATTCTACATTTAAATGAAAGTCATTTTACATATAACTTATATTACATCGGTCTTTTTTTTTTGGTATTCTTGGTTACTACAATGAATTATGATTAATAGATTGTATTCTATTTTTGTTATGTTGAAAAATAATAGAATCTAAAATAATTTATTCCAATGTATAAATGATGAAGAGAGAAACGAATTTGTTTATGTTTCATTCGTCTTGGATAGAAATATGTAATAGTAGGGAATAATAGATTTTTCTTCATTTTATTTCAATTCTGTACACAATTATAAAAAGAAAAACATTATACTATGTTATAGTATTCATTCAACATTTTGCTATAGGAATTATTTTCGATTTTATCATCAAATATATTATATATTTATATCTCGAAATAATCTTCTTTTTTTTTTTGTTTTTTTGATAATTTTTCTATTCTAAATTTCGATATTATTTTATTGTATGCTGGAACCTGAATAAGATATACGTAGAAAAAAATTTAATCCTATGAAGATAGTATATGTCTCTATTTTTGAAAAATTAAATAAAATTCATTAAATATTGATTAAGTTTAATATATTCTATAAGTTTCACAATACAAAAAAATATATTTCTCGTCGTTATAAATAACCTATCAATAACTTCATAAAAAGATCACAGATTGGTTTTCTTCCACACACCATCAATAAATATAGGCTCTTTTTTCAATCTTCTCTACTAGAAAAAAATCTTTTGCGAAATAACTTGAACTCATTACATCTTTCGTCAGACTTTTCTTAATCGAGATGTAAAACGCTCTATGACATATATATTAAATATACATGATATAGACTAATTGATTCTATACTAACGGGTGGCGCAGAAGAAATTACCGGCTTTTGATAGGCTGTTTTTTAAAGTTAGACTGAATCAAAAAGTTTCGTCTTGATGTCAAAAAATAGAGTATTTTGTGTAGCTTTTGTTGATATGTTCTTTGCACAACTAGCATTTGTCCTTCTCTCGCAGTATTAACAGTACTGAATACTACAAAAACATCATTTGCTCAAATGCAAAATAAGACACTTCTGAACTTCAATTTTTGCCCGGTTGATTATAGCTCAAAAATTTCTTCTTGTTACTAAACAATGTAGAATTTTTCGGTGTATCTAGCGGTATTTTAATTTTTTAAGCTTAGTTGTTTCTGCTTCAAAAAACACAAAACATCAAGAGAATACCTTCGAACAAAGAAATTGTACTTTCTCTGACCAATTTTCTCAAAACTTGGTTTTACAAGAACTACTCTTTTTACATCAACAGATGCAGAATGTCAAGCTCTACAAAATGTTCTTCATTATAAGAGCTGAATTCCTTTTTTAAACTAATGATAAGACTAAGATCTTTTGTCTGACACAAAAAAGCATTCAAAATGGACCATGAAGCATTTTTTGCAAGAAGTTTTTCGAATGATGAAATTTCATCCACAGACTTGGTGTTGGGTCTCAAAAATAGATACGTCCCTGTATTTTATAACACTGCATTTGAATAGTGTATGCAGAGATATTTAACAAAGAAAACTAACACTTTATTCCCGTAAAATGCTGAACAAACTATGTTTTTATGGTATCCATTACTTTTAAGACTACAAGATAAGGACAAATGATAGTTGTGAAAAGAATATATCAATAAAATCTACACAAAATTTTCTATCTTTTTCATATTAGAACGAAATTTTCTGATCCAGTTTAACTTTAGAAAACAGCCTATCAAAGGTCGGCGATTTCTTCTGCGCCACCCGTTATTTCACGTCAAGTATACAGGTGAAGTATATGTAAACTAAAATCTAAATGCTTGTATATTAATACATAAACTCAAATGACAAATTATTTTTATCATAAAGTTTCTATGAAACTCAAATAGTCATTATTATATTAGTTAGGATTATAATAGACTTGATTTCAACAAAAAACTACATTCGATAAATATCTTTATTCTTCTTTATGATTTCAATGAGAATTTTTTAATATATGTTGAGATTTGAGAGTTCTATTTTTTTCATGTATTATTTTTCCATTTTTAAAAACGAACCAGATTGAATGTATTATACACTAAATCGAAACTAGCGATCGTGACACTTCACTCTTTGATGAAGATCACGACTTTATAATAAATTACTTGAACAACTGGAAGTTTTTTGTATTTCTTGGGTTCCATCATAAATCATATATAAAGTTTTTCTTTCGATACTGATGAATTACTCTCACTATACACGTTACTCTTCAGAAGGATCAGCAATCTAGATTAGACTTCTGCATAGGTTGAAGTTTTCAAATTTGCATCCAATTAAACTAATTTCGTTGATTCTGGCTCGAATCCAATAAAGCACAACCACAATCTTACCAGAATCTGAAAAATCTGTTTTATTTTCTTTTGTAGTTAAATAATTTTTGAATAAAATTATCAGATGAAACCTCATAGTTTTTATAAATGTACGAAACTGATACATTAAAATATCACGAAGAATGTGGTAATTAGTTCTAGAACGTTTCAAAAAATTATTATTCGTTCATCCAATATTCTTTTATTTCCACTATTCGAACGACTACATTCATGAACGTATATATTCAGGTGAGTATCGAGTTTTGAGCTGATATATTGTGCACAAGTAGATCTTAGAGAAACTACAAAAATTCCTCAAAACGTTTTTGCTAATGTTTATCTCTTGTTGAGTTAATGCGAAAAAAAGCGGTGTTGTTTTGCGAGAAAGCATTATCTTCTGATAAGTACAACTTTTTGAATTGAAACGTTTAGAATATTCTAGGTATCATTGCATCTATGTATGAGGAAAATTATAGGTCGAAAGAGTGCGATTGCATTTTTTCTACATAATGTATCCTACTACAGATTGATATCTCAACAAAACTACTCTAATGCAGCAACGGATAAGCATCAACACTAACAATCATAAAGATAAGATGTGTTCAACGATTGAAAGTCTCTGTCAAAGCAGACGGTTTTTGTTTTTTTTTGTACCATGAAAATGACATTGGTGAACACAATTCTATTGATTTTGAGACACGTATAAGCATGAAGCTTTTCTTTCTTAGTCTATTGAAGTTTGCTCTACGAATATTAATTTGGAATGATAAAGGTCACATTTTTGAAAAATATGTTATAATTACTTCACATGATCGGTGTTGCATGTCATCTCGAAGTGATGGTTCCAATATTTTTAGATCTTAATTACTGTTCAATACGAACTCGAAACAATTGGTGCTCGTCCTACATTTGAAATGTCAGTCAAAGTGGAATCAACAATCATACAATTATGCAGATTGTTTCAACCGATGAGGCTCAATAGCTACAACCGCATCGACTCACAGTACATACTAACAATCGTTCTTACATCCACACCCAGTCAATAAAAAGCCGATTATTCGAGAGCTAGATAGAGAAAAGTTTGATTAGCTGAGGTTACAGTATGAAGTAGTCATCTTAAATGATTAGTCTGATGTCTCAGAAAGATATTTGGACATGTAACTATACGTGTGCATGCAAACAAGCAAACATCCAAACTTATATTATTTCGTACAACCTTCCTTCCAGTCGAGGAAATTTTGAAGTACAAATGTATATAAAAAAGACGCAGGCAGTAACTATCTTGATCGTATCCCTATTGTAATGGTGTATGTACAACGCATTCGAAATGTTATTCATAGTAAAAGTTCAAAGTCACAGCCTACATAGGTTTATTATCAATTCAGGAATATTAATGTCACAGTAGTCCACATCGACAGGAAACTTGGTAGTATCAGCTTAAGGATTGGCTAATGCCCAAACTTGAGCTGCTGTTAATTCACGCCTATAAAGATAAAATTCATCGATGGCACCAGTAAATACACCTCCGTAGCCTGGAGAGCACGCAGAGATTTGACCTATGTTTCCACCCAATATGATACGCATCGGAAAACCAGAACCCAAAAACCTAAAAGCACCTGTCGTCGAGTATTGGGAACCATTTAGATACAATCGAATACCGTTGACTATACTATAAGTATAGCCAATATATGACCAAGTATTTAACGGAATGATGGAACCATTTGTAGCTACGTTAGTACCCTTCCAATTACTGGCAACTAATTGTCCACTCGATGTCATTACTAAAACGTGAGCACACCAAGTAGATGGTCTCTCTACGAAAACAAGTGTTTGTTGAGCATAACTTCCTGTTGGCTTTGCCCACAAGGCTATACTAAATGGATGACCGCTAATACCCAAAAAGTAAAATGGAGTATATGAATAGTATACGTAGGGTCCCGTATTAAATTGCAGTGCTTGATTAACTCGACCAGTTGTACTTAATAGATTTCCATAGGCAGTTCCATTAATACCATTCGGACCATTGTCGATAAGTGAACCACTATCAAACGAGTAGTAAACATGTAGAGTAGCATCGTTCAGAATTTCAGTCGAATTTTTAGCTCTCGCCTCAAATCGTACATTGTCTATGTAACCATTAAAAGTAGACGCATTGCCTGATTGAAAAGTGGCACCAATAGTTGTTATTCCCCACAGACCATTGTAGGCGCTGGCCAAACGTGAACCATCAAGGCTACCATCAAGCCAAACTTGTTGTGCCGTTGTGACCGAGTCGTACACACAAGCTACATGGTACCATGTATTCATTGTTAGATTAGTGCTACCTTGTATGTCATTGGTATAGAATCCACAAGATAATTTGTTGTTTCGAACTATGAAGTAGAAGCACAAATTATTACTTGTTGATGGACATTGACCGAATATTCCATAGTCATTACTACTGAAAAAACCAATAGGATAGATCCATGCTTCGATTGTGAAACTACGTGAATTCAACGGAAGTACCTTCGGCGTAATATAAACATATTGAGTAGAGGACCGAATAAAATAGATGGCAGCGCCATATCCAGTAAAACTGGTTGTATAGGTTGGACTTCCGGAGAGAGAACCATCGAAGCCACTATTATACAGTTCAAGTGCATTTCTATCAAATGACCAAAAGGCACTAACTATGTTTTCGGCAGTTGTAGTAGTAGTAGCAGCTAAAAGATACATAATCGACAAATGAACAGTTACTTCGAACAGAGCACAAAACTCTTGAAAATGCTAGGTGAACTCAAAAAGATTTATGCTAGTTGTAATTGATATTATTAAAAGAAACTCTTCAAAAGAATGTTTTGGTCTCAGAGCAAATCTCTCAAAATGTAATGTCATTTTCGAGGAAAGATATTGGTTTGAAGTGCAAGACCAAGAGACTGGAGTAACTCATGCTTTAATGTATCATTCTTTGCAATAGAATAACAATACATGAATGCTTAGTATAGTAGCTTTTCATTAATGATAATGATTCGCTCAGAGAAGTAAATCAATCATTTTCTATTGTACATTTCGCCTGAAAATAGATATGATGATAAATATCATATTATGAACATTCCAATCAAAACAAATGAATTGTTCTCAAGGTTGCAATTCTTAAAAAAAAGTAACGATTGCACAGAATAATCAGAGAAACAGTAGGATTACATTGAGTATGGACATGAATCTGCTCTTTGTCAACACTCACAAATTTTTCGGATTGTAATATGCAACGAAACTGTTGAATATAATTGAGATCCCGAAATTTGGAGAACTCATCAACAAATTAAAAAAACAATGGACAAATATATTTTTGCATCAAAACTAGGCAGTCCATTGAAATACGATTGGAAACGTATTTTTTGCAATGAGAGTTCAGTCACACTATAAATTTGACAGGATACGTACTTGTTGTTGATATTGTCGATGTTGATATTGTTGACGTCGTTGTTGTTGCTATTTGTGATAGAAATTGAAAGCTATATGAAGTCATACGAAAGAACTTTCAAGGCCAAGAAGACCATCATATGAGCCTTATATTCACTATTTTATACTTAGTATCCAGTAGTATAAGCGCAATTGTAGTATTGAACAATAGGTATTTGTTACATCAAGGGTCAAATGGGAAAAATGGAAGTCATTCGAAATCATTTTCGGTACTTGTAGTGATAAAAAGAAGTCATAGCACATATCGGGATTTGGTACACTCTCTTATTCTCAACACATAGTCCGTATGGTTCTAAAAATCTCAGCACCTTTGTCAAGACCTATTTATTTGTTTTAAATGACACGTAATTCATTGATTCTTAAAGTATATAATGAAATAGTCCATAGAAATTGCTTATTCACTCGTGTATTTTTCTTGGTGCTCAATATTTTAACGTTATATAAGATTGAATATTTCTAATGCCAGAAAATCAATATAGAAACAAAGCTGCGAAAGCGTTATAACTGTTTTTCGGTATTATATCACTTGTTACTATTTTATTTTTGTTAGATAGATTCAGCTTGTTTATTTTTACATGAGATTACTAGACTTATTCCACTTAAGTCCAATTGGCTATAATTTTTTCATCTAAGTTTCACTATACATATGGTGGATCAAAAAATTTGTAGACTAAAATATTTTATAATTAAAAAAAAGTGCTTCTATTTTGATATTGCTACTGATGTGAACTCATACTATCCTTTATCTCTACACAACATAACTTCGGATCGATCATATATTGACTTGTGAACATAACAATACTTTGTAGATAGCCTTATCTGTATTAAACAAGTATATAACATTTGAGAAAAATTCCTTGTTTTAGTAGATCAATTCTTATCTAAGTGAATCGTTATTAAATGAGGACGAAGATTTGTTTTGATTATGTTTCATTACATACTATGACTTTTAAACAATATCTTCGTTTTAACAATAAGTACATGTCCATACATTAACGACGCAGTTCTGATGAGAATCTATGGATTATGATATATATGTTGCACAAGCTATAGTCATATTCTATGTAGTTTTAGTATAAATAGAATCTGTTATTTGTTAAAGTGCGATTTGACTCTTTTAGACAACTAGACTTTGAGTAATTTCAATATATATATCACTTACATTAAGAAACATTACCAGTATTCTATTGTTATCTTTCAGAAGACGGGCTCATTCGATAGATAACGATGCCTAATCTAAACGATTCACCACTACCATATCACCTGTCTGGGAAAGTCAAAAATCTAAAAGATTATGGAAATATTTGCACAAGATTCGCCTGAAATAGAAAAAAAAACATCTCACAGACCTGTAGACAAATAATTGCTTTATGGAATGAGCTTAGAATTAGATTTTAAAACGATTTTTAAGTGACTTCAAGTTGGAAAACATGTGCCCTGTTATTTCTTCCTCATTTGTTATTGTGATACACTAATAATATGATTTTGTAAATGTTTGAAGGAGATCTTTTTTCAGAGCAAAATACTTAATAAATGAACAATGTTCAAATTTTAAAATTTTCTCTCAATATATAAGAATTGTTTCACACTGTATCGCTGCAATTGTAGGTCAATCTCCAAGTGATAAGAATTCATGGTGTATAGAGATGGAACATTGTATATGCTACAGGTACACAGCAATACTGACATAGGAGCGCTTCTTGCTGAATTGAAAAAAAAATCAGATTACGAACGGTTACAAAACTATACCTATTTTTATCTTTAGCTCATCAAAGAAAATCTTCGAGTGTAAACTACTAATCCATCGTAGACGCTGTTTCGACATAATTGCTATCATAAATGGAATCTTTTCTTCAAATATTATCTCGAGAGCTTCTATTCTTCTTGCAATTGTTTCCATCTACACGACGATCTTATATTAAGAGCAAAAATAAAACGGTGAAGTATCTTTAAAATTTAATCCATCGAAAACAACACTTTCTTAATGGGTTCTAATTCATAGAACCGTATAGATACATCGTCACATCAATCGAGAATTGATTTTTCGATCTTCTTTAGTCAGTAGTATTGATACATCAACAAAGGGATATTGTAGAATAATTTAGAAGTTGATTTACGAAATCCTTTTTTAAGAGGTGCTCAAAAGGTGCAAGATTGAGAGTATTTTATTCATCAAAAATCACGTACACTTCAACACGCATGCACCCACACCCAAACCCATAGACTCAAGTAATTGTGCCCAACCCACATATCCACATCCAACCCACATCTACAGAGCAAAAACGGTTCAAAATTGGAAAACGTACCCGTGAACAAAGTTTGACAAGAGTCAAGTTAAGTTTGAATCCATTTACTACTGTTCTGATGATCTCCTCGTTATAAATTTCAATTGTTAGTTAGATATTTACTTGAGACCTTCTACTTTAAGGTGTGCTCGAACCTTCCAAAAATGATATAATAAAAAAGCTTCGTATATTCCATACTTTACACGATATATTTCATGCATCAATGTTGTCCTATTTAATGGTGAGTGTGGGGGTAGGTAGCGACATAATCACTACTATGTAACTACAGAGGCGTGCCATGATAAAGCATGAACCACCACTGACGCGAAATGTCCACATCCCTAGAACAGCAGTGGTCTACTTCTGACACATAATCATTTATATATGAGGCTCAGCCTTAGTTGACTTGAATGGTAGTTGCGCCAGCAGATGTGAGTAAATTTTAAGAGGACACTCTCATCATTACCCATGCTTAATGTTCGGTGATGACTTATACATTGTTGTACACTGTAAGAAACATCTCTCTTTGGTCCATTAGAAAAAGAAGAAGCTATATTTTTTGCCTCTATTTTAGACTACTAGGACTATCCATGCTATAGCATCAAGTTCATCTACTGCTTAATCTTGATTCATTGTGCTCTTATATGTATGTTGTGTTATTTCAGTAAAATTTCTCTGATGTGAACACAGCGAGGAATATTTCAAAGCGCTCACTATATGACCGTATTCCCTAAGGAGGGATCGATTTCGATACAAAATCGATTTGGGGGAATTGTTGAGAGCATTCATTATACGTAGGTATTATGATTCAAGAAGTGTGTTCTGTGGGAGGTTTTATTGTATTTGCATATGTTCTTACTTTTTGTTGATGTCGTTGCCGATGTTGTTGTTGAGGTGGTATCCGATGTAGTCGTGGTTACTTCAATAAGAATAATAATACCTTTTTCCTGTTAGAAGTCTCACTACACTTACACGTGGTAGCAAATGTACTTTGAGTTGCTGAACTTTTTGTAACTGAATGAAATTTTGAAATGGTATATCTTGGAATGTTCATAAATATTTTTAAGAAAACACTGCTAAATATTTAGGGTTGACCGAAATTTCTAAGTCTGATGTTTAAAGGACCTTGTCGAATAAGGTAACCTATTCAAAAATGCAAAATCAAATATACCATGTTGTAGAGCTTTTCGAGATGCATTGAATGGTATATAGTAAATTCTGTTTTCATAAGACTTTGAAGGAACTAGAATCATTTTACTGATAGGCGACTACACATCCGCTCACACCCACACTCTTAGTATGAGAAACTTAGTGGGAAGCGATATCATTCGGTAGAATTTTGACTACAAGTAGGAAAAAGCAGTGGAGCATCACAGTCAAATCTAAGGAAAATGTGACGTATCAGACGCCAAGATTTCTTGAGATCTTTGAGTTTTTGTACTCTCCCTGCTGGGAATGAGACACTAACAGTATCTGTAAGTCTGAGGTGTGGAATGAGTATGGATGCAGGTGTCGATGATAGAAGTAGACAGGCTCTCGTTTACGTGTAGAATGAATTCA